TCTTTCACTGCAGCATAGTCTTCATCTTTGTGTGGATGTACCTTAGCGAGCGCCGCAGTTCTTGTTGGCTTTTGCTCTCGGGGAGCTCACTGATCCCTGGGGAGACAGACTGTCAAACTAGTAATTACAACACATCAATAATACAGTTATGAATATTTAAATAAGAATAGGGCACTCCAGACGGAGAAAAGGGGAAGAAACTCACCCTAACTGGGAAGTAAAAGGCTTTAACACATTGACTGCTACACTAGAAAAAAATTTTTTTCCTTCAATCCATGGTGTTTTATTACTAAAATAAAATAAAAACTTTGAAAACAAAAAGATCCTAATTTAATGAAAAATTTGTTATTTTTTATTGTTTTATTTTATTTTATTTTATTTTTTTTTTTTTTGAGACAGAGTCTCCCTCTGTTGCCGGGGCTAGAGTGCTGTGGTGTCAGCCTACCTCACAGCAACCTCAAACTCCTGGGCTCAAGCGATCCTCCTGTCTCTGCCTCCCGGGTAGCTGGCACTACAGGCACACACCACCGTGCCAGCTAATTTTTTCTATTTTTAGTTGTTTTGGCTAATTTCTTTCTATGTATAATAAAGACAGGGTCTCGCTCTTGGTCAGGCTGGTCTTGAACTCCTGAGCTCAAGCAATCCTCCTATCTTGGCCTCTCAGAGTGCTAGGATTACAGGGATGAGCCACCATGCCTGGCCTATTATTGTTTTCTGTCCATGAGTTGTATGCAACTTGAAAAATAGTTCACGTGGCTCCCAAGGTAAAGAGATGTGTGAGTTACATATGTTTCCCGAGGCCCTGGGCTCAAAACTAGAGTGAGTTAAATACAACTCACATGGTAGTTAATGTGTTAAAGACAGGTGAATCTGAAAGGATAATTTGGAGATGGGGGGGAGAGTCTTCGTGAGGCAGAGATGCTCCAAAGAGCTTGATTGCTCACAGAGAGTCACCTTTCCTCTTCTGTATTCATTATGCTTACTATATCACATAAGCTACTTATGAAAGTGAATTTTTTCCCTGCACAGCTAATTTTCATTTTTCCTAGCGATACAGGACGTCAGTGAGAAGGACTGACAGGGACTTTACATTTTTTGTGGTTATGTTGGCATGTCAATAAATGAAGGTATAATGAAACAAAACATTGAATGTCATAATATGTTTAAATTATAATTAAATAAATACCTTGCAATCCATGCCAACTTGTTCTCTTCATGGGTATAAATACATAATGATAATCTAGATTTATTTTGCTGGCATCGACCATAATGAAATAAACTTGGATTGCTTTCATTTCCTTAATCGGCTTCCAAATTCCTGCTAGGTAAGTCACAAGTTGGCTGAATGGCTATGGGAAGAGGAGTGGAGTCCTGGTTTTTTCCTAGTTTGCATGTGGCTGATTGGCCAGGGGAACCTTGCATTCCACCAGGTGGATTCTTGCCTGTCTTTCTTCTCAAGGTATTTGTCTGGGTGCCAGGTCTGGACCATTCATAGCCAAGTTCATTCTGTCACCATCCCAGGTGCCAGGCTGTGACAAGAAAGAGTCTGTTTTCCAAGTCTTACTCCTTGGACCAGCTGTGAGCATTTGTCTAGTTTTTGATGGTCCCCTGCTCACTCTACCCAGCAAAATTATAACAGCTAAAATTATATATAATATAACATAATCACGGTAAGGCAGCTTGTATGTTCTCTTGCTATTGCACAGTTTATAATTATGATGTGAGGAGCACCTGCACAAAGTAGATGGACCCGAACTTTGTCCCACATTTACTAGAGGACAGCCCCTGGGGCTATGACAGTGTGCTGTTTGCAGCAGGCCACAACATTTTGGCACCAGGGACCAATTTCCTGGAAGACAATTTTTCCACAGACCCAGTGTGTGCGGGGGTGGTTTAGGGATGATTCAAGTGCATTACATTTATTGTGCATTTTATTTCTATTATTATTACATTATAATACGTAATGAAATAATTATATAACTCACCATAATGCAGAGTCCATGGGAGCCCTGAGCTTGTTTTCCTGCAACTAGATAGTCCCATCTGGGGGTGATGGGAGACAGTAACACCTGAAGTGTGTTGCTTATGTCCAGTTCACTCTGTAATCTCATCTTGGTTGCTGTCACTACAGAAAACCCTGCTTCACAAAGATAGGATGCTGGAAATGGAAGCAGGTTGTTCAGTGCTTTTGTGGCAATCTCTGGATAATTTGTATTTGCAACTGCTCCCCAGCCCTAGCATCACTGCCTCAGCTCCACCTCAGATCATCAGGCATTAGATTCTTATAGGGAGCGTGCAACCTAGATCCCTCGCATGCGCAGTTTACAGCAGGGTTTGTGCTCTTATGAGAATCCAGTGCTGCTGCTGATCTGACAGGCAGAGCTCAGGGAGTGATGCGAGTGATGAGGAGCAGCTGTAAATACAGATGAAACTTTGCTTGCCCACCGCTCACCTCCTGCTGGGTAGCCTGGTTCCTAACAGGCCATGGACCAGTACTGTGGTTGGGGACCACAGCTTATTTGAACAATTTTATGGGAGTAGCTCTGAAAAGTTTCTGAATGTTTTGAAAAGGGCAGAGCCACAACCTCCATAATCAGTTTACAGGAAGTTCAAATAATTGCTGCAAGATGGCAGAAGACATCTCACTCCACGTTGTTTACAAAAATGATTTAACCTCGTGGTTCCAATTAACATATTGGTGGTCTCTAACATATATGCACAGGTCGTTTGTATTACTGTTTTCAAATGAATGAGGTATGTTTTTATTTTCTGACATGATATACTGCTCAGTGGAGAAAAGTTTCAGGACAGGGTATATAATATGATTCCATTTTTGTAAAAATGTATCAATCAATTAAACAAACATATCGATGTGTATCTATTACTTAAAATCTAGGGATGTTAATCTGTCATAGGATTAGAGTTCTTATTACCTTCAAATGCTAAAATCAGATAACTATTATGATACCACCAGCAAACCAAATACAAGAAAAATTAAACTGTCTTTCTTATTCTGACCTTAACATAAATTCTGACCACAAGATAAATTAGATGAATGTCACATAGTGATTCTCATTTTGCAAAAGTAACTAATTAGATTAGCACAAGAAAATACTGTTGGGGTGGCAGAAAAATTACACAGAAGTCAATTTTCTAGACAATTTAAAAAATTCACCCAAATCTCATGAAAATAAATGTAATTCCATTTCACAAAAACCACTGAATCATGTATAACAAATTCTTTGTAGTCAGTAAGTTTATAAACATGTTAATTATAGATAAATCAGTCATCATAATGGGAAGTAGGAATACTAACATATTAGGAGGGCAAAATAAAAATAAAATGGTCAACTTCTAGAAACTTATGATTTTAGATGAGAAGGGGGACACAATGACCACAAGCTGGTAGAAAGGACCAAACCCATTGTCCTGTCATTATCATCCATAAAACATCATTTTCCACTTTCCTTCTTCACAAAAGTACCAGATTGAAGCGTTTAGAGGTCCTCAAATGGATGCTACTTATAAAGGCAATTTTGATGGTTTAACATGGAAATTACCCTAAATGTGGGAACCCAACATGGGATTATTCAAAATATGCCTTTCTATGCAAAATTTAGTATGTATATCTTAGCATTTTAAATGAGCACTTTGCAACCTAGACCAAGTATCAATCATCTCTTGAGGCTTTCTACTGTGTACTGACATCAGATCTACATGGGAACAAATGCTATTCTTATTTTTCTCCTCCATATCAAATGTCCTGAAGCCTTTATGTTTCTCCGGAATGAGGCAGAGTTTATGAAGGCACATTCCAGTATAAACCTCATCGATGGGGTAGAGGTGGACCCAGTCGGTGGCATTGTCCAGACTCAGGCCCAGGTGGCCGGAGTAGAGGAATCCCCCTTGCTTCCACAGAGGGTGGGTAGACCCCGGACTAAACAACTTCCGGGATGTAGTACTTCAGTTTCTTATCCCAGCACTGTGGGTCACATCACCCATGGACAAAGCGTTTGCTCTGTTCTTGGATAAGCTATTCAAGTAATTCAGGATGGGATGGGTGTTCACAAACACATCGTCATCTCCCTTGAAGATGAACTCGGCCTCTCAACCGGAAGTACTCACTCCTGAGAAACAGCACTTCCTTCAGAGACAAACTGAAGGAAGTGTCTCAGAAGCTGTACATAAGAATGTCTTGGTGCTTCCCACTCTCAAATTTCAGCGTATCTGAAAGGTGGGGGTGGTTGTCTTCCAGGGCAGTCTGGCCTAGCAGGAAGACGCCCACCACGGCCTGCTTCCCCGGTTCCCCGCATCGCCCTGTCAGCCCCAGGGTTCCCGGATCGCCTGCCTTCTGGCAAAAGGTGCAGCGAGGGACTTAATCACCCCAATACGAATAGTTTCTTTGCACACTTATGCGGCTGATCTATAAGCAGTGAATAGTTGCCGCATCTCAAATACAGCAGAAAGACTTTAAATCTGCCGGCAGATTGTTAAAACCTGTAACATCTGGCGTGACCCTCTGGTCAGGTTCACAGTAATTCGGATGGCTTATATTGGAAAACCGTGCCCTTCCCCTGTCTGGGGGGCCAACGCGCTCAGGATAGGATTGTACTGCTTGTATCGCTTTTCTTGTTCTTGTTCCAATATGCCTGAAGAGGTCAGATATCTTCCAGAACTTCTTTTGGGTGTTATTACTTCCCACTTCCCATTTTTTTCTTGGCTACTGCTTTTGGAGACTTCCATATCCAACAATTTTATTCGTCCACGTCCAACGCTCATTTCTCATACCTATGGCCACCTCATAGGTGTCCAAGGCCTAGGGTGGTGCCCTGCTTGGCGCTACCACCAGATCCTCAGGTTTATGAAGCCACCCAAGACATTTAGGGAAGGGTGGAGTCGTTAGTTCTCATGGTGTCGTGCCTGTCTCAGGGAGCCGGAAATGCAAATCCCATGCCCTACCAACCCTTGCTGTGGTCCAACCGGCAGGGCGGATACCTAGACGCGGCCTAAATGGCTGAACTCTGACCTCTGCCTTCCCAGCACTGCTGGGCTCCGCCAGCACCACGGGGCCTTGGTGCCAGCCACACACCCTAGGACCACCGATGCGCCCTCCTAGCCCAGCGTTCCAGCCGCTCGCCAGAGCACGGCATTCCGAGGTGAGTCCCAGGCGCAGTTAACACAACTTTGGGGCCCATAGGTAAGCTAGGCCCGACAGGGTGAAGTTACCCTGGTTTTCAGGACTTCCTTCTTTATTAAGACTGAATAATATTCCATTCTATGTGTGTATACCACATTTTCTGTATCCATCTTTCTGTCGATGGAAATGTAGGTTGCTTCCATGTCTTGATTGTTGTGAATAACATTGCAGGGATCCCAGGAGTGCAGGTGCCTCTTTGAGATTCTGATTTCAGTCTAGATTCTGATTTCAGTTCAGTCTGTACCATCCTGAACGCATATGGTCTGATCTCTGATCTAAGCACGGTGGGGCCTGACTTGTATGTGGATGGGAGATTCTGATTTCAACTCCTTTGGATACACACCCAGAAGTGGGATATCTGGATCATATGGAAGTTTTATTTTTAATTTTTTGAGGCTCCTCCAAATTGTTGTCCATAGGGGCACACCAATTTACATTCCCACTAACAATGTACAAGGGTTCCCTTTTCTCCATGGTCTTGCTTGTTGCATTTTAAAGTATCATTTTTGAAAGAGAAAAACAGGGTATATTTTTTAAAATAAAAATATTTCAGGAAATGTTGCCAGGACCTTTGAAAACCATTGATTTCCACAGCAAGTCTTGACCTTCTAGATCCACAACACAAGGGGGTGCTGTGGGATCTTGAATGAGTCACCCCACAGGCACCTCCGGCTTCCTCCTCTGTGAAATGAGGATGACACCCCTTGCAGAGCGGTGGTGAAGATGAAAAGATACAGCTGTCAAAGTGAGCATCCTGGGAGCTTGCCTTTAATTTTTCTAAATATGAATAGGGGTTGGGATAAGGTGAGACCAAAAAAATCCTTGTTCTAACCGATTCTATTTCTAAAACAAGAACAAAGAGTTCGATGTTTTTCAATTTCCTCCTTTGACCTAAATCTCTTCTCATACTCCTAATCAGTGCTGGAATGAAAAGACAGTTAGAAGTCAGCCTTCTTGGTTCAGCCTCTCCTTGAAGAATCTGGCAAAAGTTATGCACCTTAAGCCCAGAAAACTCAATAGAAGGCTGAATTTTGAATATGATTCCCAGAGATTCCCAGGCCCAGGTTAAGGACACTTTGTTGATTTAATTTAATCACCTTATTTTACCCAAGAAAACACCAGTCCAGGAAATTCAAGCCACTGAGCCCGATTGTTCATGACTCACAGATTTTACCACCCCCCTGAATTGCTCTGGAGATGGGAACCACCCACAGTGTGGTGGCATGATTTATGCTCCACAGCACCCCTGGGACCAGGCCAATGCTAGACTTTACCTGAAATCAGTCCTTGCTTATCTCTTCCCCCTCCCTAGTCTGTTTCCCTCACAAGCTTTTCCTGAAGAGCATACTCTTGTAAATCACACACATTCCAACCGAACACTGTCTCAGGCTCTGCTTCTGGGGAATCTTACCTAATATAGTGGCAATGGCATCATTTTATAGTTTCCAGGCAGTGGTAACTTGTGTGATAACAATACCCTGGTAAGATACCTAATGGCTCTCTTCACTTTATAAATTTATACATGGGACCTCAGAGAACATTTAGTGATTTTACAGGACATGTTTGGGTGTATACATGTATGTATGGATAATATATACTTTATATGTATTTATATTCTTTTGCTTTTTCCACTTAATATATCACAATGATTTCCCTTTAATTCTATCTTTATAAACATAATTGTGAAAAGATGCGTAAGATTCTAATCCATCAAGGTAGCTTTTTTAACCTAATATATGTAAATAGGGGAATATTTACATTTTTATTATTATAAATTATAAAAGGGACTGTCCATATAAAGCTGTTTTCTGTGTTTCATTTTTTTTAAAAGGAAAAAATTCTAGAAATGGAGTTACTGGGCCATAGAGTGTGATATGTATGGCAAATTTATTTTCAAAAAGATTTATACTCCTAATGACATTGCTGTAACAGAGGGAATGGCCTGAAACAGGGTAAAATGTTTTATGAGTTGTTTCTTTAACACCCCCACTCTTTTTGGGAATTGAAACCTGCATCCTTGCCTAAGTCCAGTAATCAGAGGGACAGGGTAGTGTCCTTTATTCCACAAGAAATGTCGCAATGGAATTGTCCAGGCAGTAGTCATGACATTGTGGCTGGGCACGGTGGCTCACACCTGTAATCCTAGCACTCTGGGAGGCCGAGGTGGGAGGATCACTGAAGGTCAGGAGTTTGAGACCAGCCTGAACAAGAGCGAGACCCTGTCTCTCCTAAAAATAGAAAGAAAGTATCTGAACAACTAAAAATATGGAAAAAAATTAGCCAGGCATGGTGGTACATGCCTGTAGTCCCAGCTACTCGGAGGCTGAGGCAGGAGGATCACTCAACCCCAGAAGTTTGAGGTTGCTGTGAGCTAGGCTGACACCATGGCACTCTAGCCTGGGCAACAGAGTGAGACTCTTGTCTCAAAAAAAAAGAAGTCATGACATTGTTTTCGTTGGAGATGGGGTCAGTAATAACCATCAACTATAATTAAACAGCAATAGTCCCAAGCTGAGAATTCATTTTAAAAGCTTTGTATTTCTGCTGATATGTAGGACAATGGTACTTTAAGACAAGAGTCTGCCATTTCCTCATTGGCTGGCAAATTAATAAACTTCTCTTTCCTTCTCCTACAGCCACTTGTCTTCATTCTTCTGATGTGGCCTTGGGGACAAGTGCTGAACTTCTGGTAACAAAATTTGGCATCCCTGGGTGGGCCCATCAGTGCCCCAGTGGAATGGCACCCTGCAACTGCTGGAAGAGGTAGGGAGTAGCTCTGGGTCAAGCCATGGGTAGGGGTATCACCTTTTCAAATAAGAGAGTGAGGGGACCACCCCAGCAGCTGTGGGAGTCTGATTAGCTCCAGGGAACTCCTGGCTCTCTTCTCCAAATGCAGCTCTGACCAGCTTTAACTTTGTTGAGAAAAGAGAAATGGATTTGGTAAATGTCACGATACCTTGGCTATTCATTTGAGTAAGTTCCCTGGCCTGTGCATGCTGAGACCCTTGATTCCACCAATTTGGGGAAGGTTTTCAGACCTTCTGCTCTATGACAGGGCATTTTGTTTGGATTTGTTTAGAGGCACCATTTGTGGGTGGAAGTCACAGTTGAGTGGAACTTGGAAACCTGGGGAATTCCCTCGCTTTTGGATTAGGAGATGTTGGTTCTTGTTTGAGATGATTTGGTTCTTATTTGTGTGGTTCCCATTTGTTTGGTAGGCCTTGGCATTTGGGATTGTTTATGTTGGGAATTCCTGGTATTGTTTGTGTTTGTTATTTGTGAGTTTTATACTAACATGGGCTCTATTTCTGTTCCATCTGAAAGTCCCCTGGGAAAAATTTTGGCTGAATGGTCAACTTACAGCTATGAACATAGGTCTAAAGAAAGAACAGTATATTATTGTAATCCAATGTACATACTGGAGTGTGAGAAGTGGCTGCTGAATGAAACCTTAAATTATTATACTATCTTATAACTGGAATTATTTTGTGAAAGGTCAGACCCCATGTATGCAGTCTTTCATGCAACTGCATAACAAGGAGGCTGAAAGGCCAGGTGATAAAACTGGGTAGGGATTAACTAGGTAGAATCTCATGAACCTGCTCCCTTGCCACTGCCAGCTCCCCATGTGCTGAGGATGGTGCCTCGAACTCAACTGCACTTGGGGCCCCACTGCCCTGACTGCCACAGGCCTTTGCAGTGTTTTATTTTAGTTGGATACTAGGATTCCCCTGGTCCATACCAGTTCTGGGTTGGCTGCTGGGTGCCAGCTGTGGCAAAACACCATGTGAGACTGTGGCCCTGGGTGCAAACCTGGCAGGAGGGGGAACCAGCATGTGCAGTCCACTGCCCAGTGACATGTGGTGAGGGAGAAACAGGGATCAGGGGAGTGCCTACCACCCACCCAACTCCTCCCTGGGGCATCCATGTGATTCAGTTGGAGGTGCTATCACCCACCAGGCTCCCTGGGGATGGCTGCAATGCCTGCAGCAGCTAGGGCAATCCATGGGAATGCCCCAGCTCTCTCCCAGAGTTCCCATCTTGGCACCATGAGAGAGGCCAGGGAGGGTGCAACTGGAACTAATTCTTCAGTTTCACACCCACTAGGTTATGACTCAGGGCTGGGAATGGCCTCTCCTTCTAAGACCCAGTAGGCAACTCAATTTGGCCAGGGCAGGGCAATTTCCATTATGGAAATATCAGATAGGGGGCTTGAATGTACAAGGACAGCTGGCTGGGTCCTTTGAGACAATCAAAAGGAAAGAGCAGAAAAAGTTGCCTCAGATTGATGTATGATCAATGTGCTTTTTCTAAAAAGAGAAGACATTGGAAAGAACATTGCCCAAAATTGCAAAGGGCTCTAGGTAACAAGAAGCCCCAGGAGAGCAAATGGTTTCTTTTCAAGTCCAGGACTCAGATGACAAAGTAGGGTGCTTTGGGCACCCTGCCTCACTATAAATTCCTCATACCAATAAGTATAGATTCATGCAGGATCTACGTGCCATTAATGATATTGTACAAGTGACTATGCAATTGCATTTGAACAGCAGGATCCTGGGACTAGGATGGCTTCTTGGCACTGCTCAACTATGTTGCCTCAGGGCTTTCAAATAGGCTCTCCTACCCAGTTTAGTGAGGACTTAGTGGGGAAGTTGTGGAACCTGCAGATTTGCAAACAGACTGATATGCAAACAGCAGGTTACTTATCTGGGATTCCAAATTAGCAAGGGAACCTGTGACAACTGTGAGGGTTCCTAGGCATGCTTGGTTTTTGTCACATCTGGATCCCAAACTTTGGACTAATGGCAAAACCCTTGAATGATTCCCTCAAAGGAATAGATGCAGAGCCCCTGATCTGTACCACAGACTGTCAAAATGTCTTTGAAAAACTAAAGCAGAGTCTTATGACTGCCCTTGCTTTGGGGTTGCCTGACTCCCAGAAAGAATTTAAATACTACATTCATGAAAAATAAAGACTGAGCCTTGGAGTACTATTACAAATGCTGGGGGACATCCCATGGCCAGTGGGATACTTGTCAAAGCCATTGGACAATATCGTGATGATGGCCTCCTTCCTTCTGGACAGTGGTAGCTACTTATGAGTTGTTATTAATGACTGTGTCTACTTTCAATCCTGCCACCCTTTTACCAGCTGAAGATAATGAGACTTTTGCAGCATGACTGTTTAGATGTTCTGGAGACTTTCTATTTTTAGCAGGATGGATCAGATCAGCTGATGCCAGAGCCAGGCTGGGGTCTTTTCACTGATGGGAGCAGCCTATGGTCAATGGATAATGAGGGGCTGGATGTGTGGTGGTTGCAGAATGATGGGTACTAAAAGCAGTGGCCCTGCCACCTGGGACTTCAGCCCAGAAAGCTGAGCTGGTTGCTTTGTCCAAAGCTCTTCTGTTATCCAGAAAGAAAAAGGTAAACATTTATATGGACTCTAAGTGTGCTTTTATGGTTGTGCATGCTCATGGTGTCATTTGGAAGGAAAGGGGCTCCTGACCTGAAGCTTTGGTTGGCCCCTATGAGGCACCTAGATGAATGCACACACCATGGGCATGATGCCTTAATGGATTGTGTGGGACCTCATTTAAGAGGACCCTATTTTCAACAAACTATTTATTTATATGCTTGAAACAATCCAAAGATAGAAAAATGACCTGCTACACAGGGAACCCAACATGTGAGGACCCACCTTTTAAACCTATATTAGTAGGTACCTTTTCAGGCTGGGTAGAGGCTTATCCTACCCAAACGGAGGGAGCATGTGAAGTTACCAGAATCCTTCTGAAGGAACTCACTCTGAGATGGGCTCCTGCAGGAGCTGCTGGCCTGGGACGGGGCCTTTGCTGAGTTCCTGTGTACATACACAAGCACAGAACAGGAATAGGCCTCTGAGGATGACGGGATGACAGGTGTTAGCAGTCCAGGGAAAGGGGCCAAGCAGATGGAGAATGTCATGTTGGTAATGGACGCCATGGGCAGGCAGCACCAGAGACAGCTCTGCAGCTCCTTCTCCTATAGTGGGGACGTCATCAAGTACTACAAAAGCACGGCCAAGCTACAGAAAGCCAGGGCCAAGAAGGAGGCAGACAAGGCTCAAACTAGGAAGGTCATGCTGTCTGAGTCCTGGGACTACATGAAAGCCATCAGACTGTTTATCTTTTTCCTGAGCACCTTCCTCTTCTTGTGTAACCATGTTGCCACTCTGGCTTCTAACTATCGGCTCAGTCTCTGGACTGATGACCCCATTGTCAATGGGACCAAGGAGCACACTACAGTCTGTCTAAGCATCTATATAGCCCAGGGCATTTTACAAGGTATCACTGTGTTTGGCTGCTTCATGGCAGTATCCATTGCCAGAGTGGGGGGAATCTTTGCTTCCCACCTTCTGCACCTGGATTTGCTGCACAATGTCTTGTGGTTGCCCATGAGCTTCTTCGAGTGGACCAGTGGGAGCCTGGTGAACTGCTTCTCCAGGGAGCTGGACACAGTGGTCTCAATGATCCCTCAGGTCATCAAAGTGTTCATAGGCTCCATACAAGAGTAATAATGGACCCTCCTTTATATCAGAGGTAACCAGCAAGTAAGCAAGCCCTGCACCTAGAATGAAAATTGCATGCATCCTGGAATCGATGCAGGAGACCCATCTAAAGTGGGATAAAGTATTGCCACTTGCCCTTATCCGGATAAGGGTAGCCCCTAGAAGCAGGCTTAAGTTAAGACCCTAAGAAATAGTTTATGGGAGACCCTTCCTAGTACCCCAAGTTAAGTGTGGTAGTATAATCACAAGTAAAGAAAGTAGAGTAAGGCAATATGTTAAGCAAGCGGGTCAGACACTAACCATCATGCATGAATTTTCCTCTTTCAGATCCTTGCCCCAATTGGAGGTACCCCTCCACCCCTTTAAACCAGAAGACTGGGTGATCTGAACAACAACTGGCAGAGAAGTCTAAGGGACCATATGAAGTGCCTCTAACAACTCATACCTCATTGAAATTGTCAGGAATAAAAACCTTAGGTCCATCATACCAGAGTGAAAAGGTGTCCCATGGAAGAAGAGGACCTAAGACCCCAGTGGATGGGCCAGTCTTTAGGCCTAAGGTTCCCAACCCCCAGGCTGTGGACCAGTGGCCTGTTAGGGACCCATGGCCTGTTAGGGACTGGGTGGCAGAGCTCTGCCGCACCCCCCTAATCCATGGAAAAATTATCTTCCATGAAAGTTAGGAACTGTGGGGCTACACAGCAAGAGGGCAATAGCAGGCAAGTGAGCAAAGCTTCATCTCTGTTTAAAGCTGCTCCTTATCACGCACATCACTGCCTGAGCTCTGCCAACCCCACCCCAACCCCTCAGCCCCGGTCTGCGGAAAAATTGTTTTCCAGGAAACTGGTCCTTGGTGCCAAAGAGGTTGAGGACCACTGCTTTAGGTGATCTAAAATATCTTTTTAAGAAGAAGGATAAATGAAAATGTTGATATTTTTGCTCACTTTTCTTTGGTTATTTGTTCTGTCTATAGGATGGAAAGACAACTTCTTAGTGAGGATTTCTCCAGGCTATCGCCTCTTTTGATGATCTGTCTCGCTGCTGGGTTTGTCATGTTTGTTTTCTTTTTAGACAGAATCTCACTCTGTTGCCAGGGCTAGTGCCATGGTGTCAGCCTAGCTCACAGCAACCTCAAACTCCTGGGCTCAGGCAATCCTCCCACCTCGGCCTCCCAAGTTGCTGGGACTACAGGCATGCGCCACTATGCCCAGATCATTTTTTCTATATATTTTTAGTTGTCCAGCTAATTTCTTTCTATTTTTAGTAGAGATGGGGTCTCACTCTTGCTTAGGCTGGTCTCGAACTCCTGAGCTCAAGTGATCTCGCACCTCGGCCTCCCAGAGTACTAGGATTACAGGCATGAGCCACCTGGGTTTATCATCTTAAATTTCATTCGGTGTAAGTATTCCTGTATATGATTTCTGAATTTGCAGAAGCCAGTCTCTGGAATCACCGACAGGGCACAACTAATAGCTCCACACTCAGAGGTCTATGTTTCTTTCTTACCAAGGCCTGTATCAGACATTGTGTGCAAGGTGACAGTAGGAAGGACCACAATCCTACTGGTGTCTTAGATACCAAGTGGGGTAAAATCTCTCTTATCAGGTATCCTCCATTTCACCTTGTCAATCCTCACAGTTGTAGTTGTTGCTTATGCCCTTTTTCACCTGGTCATCTGTTGTATTCTTTATTTTTGTAAACCTACTGCCAAAGCTTTGTAACAGGATTAATAAGTATAAACCTTCCATCTAAAACATTGTACCAGTTCAGCAGGAAGTAGATCAATGATTCTGTCACCCCTCTTCCCATAGACGTGGAAGGATAAAATTGACAGTGGGGAATATGTCACAGAGGAAACAGCCTGAAAAGGGGGAAAATAATTTATGAGCTGTCTATTTAACCACCCCCGTACTCTTTGGGAATTAAGGCCTGCATCCCTGCCTGAGTCCAATAATCAGAGGGGCAGGGGAGTGTCCTTTGTTCTTTGTACCACAGGAGATGGCTCAATGAAATTGTCTGGGCAGAAGTCATGAGGTTGTCTTCACTGGAGATGGGGTCAATCAGGACCGTAGTTCAACAGCAATAGCCCCAGGCTGAAAACTCATTTTAAAAGCTCTGTATTTCTGCGTATAGGTAGGACAATGGTACTTTAAGACGAGAGTCTGTCATTCTCCGTATTTGCTGGCAAATTAATAAACTTCTCTTTCCTTCTCAAGTCACTTATTCTCTTTCTTCTGATGCTGCTTCAGGGACAGGTGCTGAACTTTTGGTAACATTGCCACCTGCAATTTGAACCCTCTTACCAATATTGAGTATTATTTTTATAAAAACAAATTGCAAACACTGATGTAAAGCGAAAAGAACTCATTGTTCCATTAATTTACCTTTATTTATAGTAAAGCTGAATTTTTAAATATGTTTATTAGCCATTTGTGTTTTCTGTTTGGGAGAGTTTTTCCCCTTGTTTAGGACTTTAATAATGAATTTGTACAGTTCATTCTGGAAAAATATTATACTGGTTGTGGACTTGGTTACTAAGCCTTTGATTTAGAGATATTTATCCTGTAATTTCTCCAGAGTAATATTTTCTACCTGTTCCCTGGCAAAGTATATGGGGGCAGATTTGAGTCTGAAGAAATTCCATTAGTAATTAACACTCAACCAAATTGACCTCCCTCAGTAAAGGGAAGATGGAATGTCTAAAAGGGAGGATTTCTAAACATAAAATGCAATGAAATAATTTAACAAAATATTTTAAGTGGAATGGAGGCAGAAATGAAAACATGCTGGTGGAGCCAGAAAATGTCTGCACATTTATGACGAAACTTAGAGCAGGCAGATGACACTGTTCAAAATGCAAGGGTTAGGGCAATATAACCCATGTACCTAGTGATACTAATAAACACAGATGTCCCTAATTGTAGATTTGTCTTAGGAGTTCAACTTTTAGTGTTTTGGTTTTTCTTTTTTTTTAATTGGGCAGCCCCTCCCCACCCCACCAGAACATGTTCAGAAAGACTCCTAAATTGTGGTTTTGAAAACATTTCTCACTTGGTTGCTTCCTTATTTCAGAAACAGGGTGACATTAAGAAAAATCAAATTGAATAGTCAACAGGCATCGTCAAGTAAGCATTTCAGCCTCCTCCTCAATGATAAAAAATTTTAAGTGCTGACAGTTTTTCAAGAGACAAGATTAAATTCCATACTGAAATTCTTCCAGCTTGAGCTCTAGCCAGAGGTGAACTTTATTTTGGAAAATCTGGGAAAATAAGCTCCATTAATTCCAAGGCGTGGAAAGAAGGATCCTGAAATACCCCTCACTTCTCCAGACATATTATTTAACCTCACACATTCCTCACAGCAGCTGTTCCAAATCGTTTCCACTTTCCACGGAGGCTGCTAAGCTGTATGGAGAAGACAGGCGCTGGGTGACCTTCCTCATCCAAGCTCCTCCTGTCTCCAAATGCCCCATGTCTACTCCCATCAGTTATACATGCTTTTAGGATAGCCAGCTCTCTTGCCTTTATATTTCCCTTCTCCGCGCCCAAAGCCGAGTTCCTTGTTCATAGAAATGCTTCACTAATTAAGATATTAAAAATCACCAGCCGTGATAGCTCACACCTGTAATCCTAGCACTTTGGGAGGCTGAGGCAGGAGGATCACTTGAGGACAGAAGTTTGAGACCAACCCGGGCAACATAGTGAGTCCCCGTCTCTACAAAATAAAGAAAAAAAATTGAAAAAAAAAAAGTGATTGATTAAGACAAAATCAACTTAAACAACATGGATCCTAGATTTTATTGGTAGTCAGACCCTTACTAGAGCCAGTGCCTTGGAATAATGAACCAAGAAAGGGGCACAGCAGAGTGCCCCCTACAGGCTAGTTTTGTACCTGGTCCCACCACTAATTAGCTCTTGGACAAGCTATTGAACTTCCCATCAGCTCCCATTCCTCAGATGCTTTATCTCTAAAAAGGATAATAAAAATTCCTGCTTCATAGAGCTCTTGGTAGGATTAAATCAGAGAAAGAACTTGGCACAGAAGGCGCCACTTAATAAGTACTCAAAATAGCTATAATACGCATTGTCATATATAATCAGCATATCAGATCTCTCAAGGAAGTTTCCACATTTTCACTCAAGGAAAGAAAACGGCTTATCATGCATCTTTAAGAAAGCGAGCTTCCCTTTGGTTTATATTTTGGGAGTTCTCTAGTAGGCCTTTTCAGATGCAATAGAGAAAGAAACATATTCTAATTTGCCAAGTTTGCAAACTGTTTTCCTAATCTCTTTACAGCATATTCAGGCAAACTTCAGAGTTGTTTTTTTTTTTAATTTTTTTTTCACATGCTGAAGAAATTCACTGCATCAAAATTCAGTTTTAGAAAAAGGAAAGTGGGTGTTGAAGGAGAGCTGGTGGGAATTGTTTCTCAGACCATTCACCCTGATTTTAGAACTTGTGTCTATCCTGGTGCCAGGAAGTCCTGCCCCTCCCCCATTTCATGATGGAGGCCAGAACACTTGGGCTCTGCTTCTCTTCCCCACGACTCCTCTGTTTCCAGTGCAGCCTAGCTCGGTGCCTGGCAGGGGATAGACTGTGTTTCATGTCTGTGCAGTTGAGGCGCTGGAATCCTCATGCTCCTTCTCACAAGCGGGCTCTAGACAGAGTTGTTTCCTTCTACACTTGTCTCTTCACCTCTTAGAGACCATTTTTATTCTGCTGACACTAAAGCTTTTCCTGTGACTCTTCTCAGAATATAACTCGATCACGAAGATTTCAAGGCAGAATTATTAAAACACATTGATTGTTCATTAATCCACTCAGTAAACATGTATTAGGTGCCTCTTGTGTTTTCTTAAAAAGAAAAGCATGTGTTTAGATATAAACGAGCTTGTTTGCTTTTTTTTCCCTCTCTGATCCTTTAAACTCCAGTGAGGTCACCTTTTTTTCTTTTTGATTTTCTAAAATAATGTCTGACTATAGCGACATCTACTGGCAAAATGGAGTTCTACATCAAGGAAGTCGTCAGCACCTAGCCTCAAAGTTATTTTGTGACAATTCTTTTTTTCCCTAAGTGTAGTCCAGGCAGACGTCTAGACCAAGGTTCTTTGATAATGAGAACTACTAAACCACTTCATTAAAATCACTTTCCTGTTAATGATTTCCGAATCTTAAAAGCTTTTCCGTTTGCAATACTACTGCTATCTTTGCTGAAAAGTCATAGACCAAGCTGCTGGGCAGCCTCTTAAAAGGACTATATTTAAGAAAGTGCACAGAAGCGTACAAACATATTGTATTAGTAGAGTAACTCATATTAAATTGAATGGTTGGGAGCCATGCCTAAATAAGCACTGCCATTACCTGATGAATTCCAGGGCATTTCAGCTCGAAAATGAATTATTGCAAAGTTAATTTGTATGCTCACTTAGAATTTTATTTTACTTATAACACGATGTTCAGTGGTTAAATTCTCAAGGTAGCCATCAGTAGGTCATTTTACACAACATAACTGAAATACTGTGCATTTGCAAAGAAAAGAAAAGCAGGAGGAAATAAGTAAGAAATAATGTTTTTATAATATTAGTGAAGAAGATTTTTTAAAATTGAAAAATAAAGTTTTTTCCTCACTCTTG